CGGGTGTTGGTGACTGGCAAAATTTATTAATATATCACTGGAAGTTGAAGCCTACACTCTTGCAGAAGCCATGTTAGCTACTCTGGTACACATATGCTACCAGTAAGTGCTGTCTGTCAATGCCGACGTAAGCGTTATTGCATTTTTTTATAACCCAGCTGCCGAGTGTACTGTCAGAGTTCTTAAATTTCATGCGAATATTTTTAGCTGAACTATAAAAGGCAAATAATGCCTTAAGCTTTAATTTTGCCATTGCCTTGATTTTAAATTATTTTAAAAAATAACTTCAAAATAGATTTAAATGTTATTTGATTTAATTATAGTTTTTAATTTTGTAACTTTTTTGGCTTTATTTCATTTTACTTTACTTAAAATTATTTTTCTTATTTTTCTGTTTCATATTATTATCCATTTAAATTTTTTTAAATTATTTTTTATTAATTTTTTTCAATATTTTATATTTCTTTAATTCATTTTGATTGCTAATTTTTTTGTGCGTTTAATTTAAATATTTATTTCTGTAAAATTTTATAATAAGATCAGCTGTGCCTAACGTCCTGGGTACTAGCACGAGCTCAAAAAATTTGACTTTTTTGCACTTCAAATTCTGATAAAAAATTTTCTAGCTTATTTTTTCCCCCAGTGGATCTAGTTATTGCTGCTATTTTTAATTTTTAGCTCATTATTAATAGCTGATTTTTTCCACATTCCCACAATCCATTAGCCTTTTCAAATATAAAATTTCTATGTTGTTTGTGATGAGTTGCCAAAAATTAATAATCGCAAAAACCATTTTTTCGAACCACGCAAACACCTTTTCTGGTTGACTTATCATTAATGGCAAGTTCTTTTTTTTTATATTTAACTTTTTTTTGCAAAACCTCTCTACTCGTTCGGTACTTGTTGTGCAAATTAGCTGCAAGTGGTAGCTAACTCATGCAGTTGGAGTTGACAGCTATCAAAAGAAACAATAAAATAATTAAAATTAATTTATATTCATTATAACGGAAACAGCTGAGTATAGTTTTGTATGCAAAAAAAATTTTTGTTGTTTATAAAAATAAATCTTAAAAAAAAATAGAAAACAAACGAAATTAATAGTCTGAAAATATAAATTAATTTAAGAGAGGAAAAACAGATTTTGTTATTATTTAAATTTTTTTAATAAAAATAATTGTTATTGGGCAAAATTAAGATTTCATAAGAAAATAATTTAAAAAAATTTAACCAAATTTAAACTGAAACGGGAAAAATTTTTGTAAATTTCAAAAGCCACAAACAATCTTAATTTATTCAAAAAATTGCAGTTTTAAAAAAAAATATATCTTAACATATTTTGAATATTGAAAAAATTATAGTCTAATAAGATGAAGTGGCACTCAAACTTCTGTTATCTTAAGCCGTCTCTAATTAAGTTTAATTCTATGCCGCGTAGTTGAGTTGAACTAAAAATAATTTGGTTAACCCCATTTGACATAACTCGACTCTCTGTTTGATTTGACTCAACTCGACTTGACTCGACTTGACTTGGTTTTGTGTTGAGTTCAAATCAATTGACTTGAACTAAATTGAATTAAGTTGAGTTGAGCTGATTTTAGTTATTTGTGTTAAGTAAACCCAAAATAAGAAGACTAAATTCAGTAAATTTATTATGTTTTATTTTAAAATAGTTTTAAATTAATTTTAAATGTACGCAGCTGAAATATTTCCAATTATATTTTGCAATATAAGTGATTAAAATATTTATTCAAATATTTTTGAAATCATTTTTTTGCTTTAATGAAATATTTTTTTGATTTTTTTAGTATTTTTTGTCAGCACCTTTCATGTTTATATACCAACATTCTTTCCGTTCCCCACTACTTAGCCAACGAAACTTCACTACACCGATTATTGTCACTCCAGTGTACTCATAGTTGTCAACAGCACAGCAGTGGGCCAATAAATTTTGCTGCGACAAATCAGCGCTAATAAATCGTAACAATGTGCACCAACTGGCACTGTATTGTTGCTATTGTGGCATGCAACATGCGAACATGCAACACTTTGTAAGCTCATAAATATTCAAATTAAAAATTTTCATTCGTGTTGCCAGCGCGTGATTGCCTAAGCCAAACAATCTGTGTGTTGCTTATAAGTAATAGTTTTTGTAGCAATTTCTAACTTCTTTACAACAAACACACACACACACACCTACATTTATAATATACATGCTTTTGCTTACAAATATTGGCTTATTGAAAAATCATCTTGATGCCATAAATAAAATTTGAAGCAAAAATCTATTACAAGCGCAGCAATTGGAAAATAAGTCTACTGAAAGTAAGGGGAAAAAATAAAAGAAAAGTTAAAAATTTATTTTTTCTTTTACGCTTACAAGTCATAAAGTACAAAGTTATTTGCATTGACAGATAAATGTTTGCAACAAAGAGTCCAACGAATTTGCGCAAACAGCCGGCGGTCAAATAAATAAATATTCAGGTTCGCACGCTCGCTCGCTTTAAAGTAACTCGTAGTTAAAGAGGTGTCTTCACTTCACTATCTTCGTTGTTGTTGCGGCTGTGTTAGTTGTCACAGCTGATTTTGTTACTGTTGTTGCTTTGCTCTATTTAAATGTTTCACGTGAAATTAAACAAGTTGCAACAGCGAGAACACCTTAGCTGGCATAAAGACAAACTGTTTGCATGGTACAGTGGAACGGCTTAGGAAAAAGTAAAAAATTCTTTAATTACTTTTTTTGTATTTTGAACGCAGTTAAGTATATACAAAAAAACAGTAAATTTTTAACACTAATAAGCACTAGTTGTATAAAATTTTTAATTTTTTTTTATAACTTCATATCATAATTTACAGATTTTTATAAACTAAAAAATTAAATAACAATTTTTATTGCATTTTTTGAAAAGAAATATAAAATAATATTTAATTTTCTCCATACAAATCTTAACGCATAACAAAAGCGCAATAATACCATATCCATCCCACTGTGCTAACTACAAATCGACTTTACTTCCCACAACAGCAGCAGCGGCAATAGCAACGTAACACGAGTCCTTGGCCTTGTACGATTGCGATTTGTTGATAAATATTTGCATTGCAATAAATTCAATGTGAACATACATGAAACATTGAACAAATAAAGTATAATAAAACAGAGAAAAAAAAAATAAAAAAAAACTAACAATATTTTTATTGATACAAATACAAACAATAGAATAACATATAAGCACAAGAAACAAATATGTAAAGCAAGAAATGTAAAAGTTAACATGCAACGAAGATTTCCACTGGTGACTCGCAAGATTTGAGATTCAAAGGTGACTGGCAAATATATAAACATGCTCTGGTTGGCGCATCGTTGCATATAAATGAGAAAGTATAACTACACAGAAATCGGTTTAACTGCACTAGGTACAGTAGTGAAAAAAATTAAAAAAAATTTATTATTTATTTGTATACACTGACGGACAATATTGAGCATTAACTCTTCTTCATAAAAAAGAAACAAAGAAATTATCAGATATGTATTTTTTCGCACGTTAATACCTTACTATTCTTTTTTTTATAAATTTTGTTTAATTTTTGTATAGTTTTACTTGTCTTTTACTTAATTTTCAATTAAAATAATTCTCAATTTATTGATTTTATTTTATTATACTCAACTAATTCATTTAATAAAACTTATTTTATTTTATTTTATTTTATTTTATTTTATTTTATTTTATTTTATTTTATTTTATTTTATTTTATTTTATTTTATTTTATTTTATTTTATTTTATTTTATTTTATTTTTTTTTATTTTATTTTATTTTTTTCTTATATTATTTTTTTCTTATTTTATTGCATGCTATTTTATTTTACATTGTTTTGATTATTTTACTTTATTTTGTTTTCATTTTACTATGATTTTTTATATTATCTCATTTTAATATCCTTTATATAATATTCGCCATAGCCCTTTTTTATGATTACCAGTGTATATACATATATTTTAGTTACCTCTTCGTCTCTTAGCAATAAATGTTGTTGCTCGTCTGTACTACTATAAGCGCTTTGCACTTCTAATCTATTCAGCGCCGCTTCAGGGGCAATTTTTCATATGTAACTTTCGAGATTTCATCAGTAAGTTGACTTGCATCTGCAATACAACATTCAAGTGTTTGCGCTTGCCCTTGCGCATGAGCAAGGAGGGAACTCGGCAAGCATTTGATATGCATTTTATGATATGTATAGCAGCAGTACCAGCCAAAGCGGCAGCAGCACTGTTCTCTGCTTGGAACAAGTTGAACGATGTTGCTACGGCCACCATTCACTTGCGATTATGACTTTTGCCAAACATGCGTTATTGTGCATGTGCAACAAAAAGAACAGCATTAACTCATAGATAATAATGAAAGTAAAAAAATATACATAAATAAATGGTGGCTAACAGCAACACCAGCAACGCACTCTATTATTGACCACAAACATGCGTGTGAATTTTCGCGTGGTGGCTTGGCCTGCTGCCACAGAATGCTCAGATTTCATTCGCGATTCGCCATGCATTTGTTGCTTTTAATTGAAATTTATTTTTATTCTATTTATTTTTTTTTTCTTCAACTTTTATTGCCTGGCGTGCAATCTATTGCTTTATTAAAACGTTTAAGTGCTGTCTTAGTGCTGTGATTTAGTTCCTTTGGCTGTTTTTTTTTTTATTACTTTTTCAAACGTATCTTAGGTGTTCGTGCGTTTCGGTGTTCTTAATGGAGCAAATATATTTATTTAATTAATATAATAAAAATCTTCAATTGTTAAAATAAAATGCTTGAAGAATTTTCAGCGGGCTCTGCAGTTTATTGCGATATTTATAATTTTTTTCGTATGTAAACTTTTATAATGTCGGCGGGGTCAGTTAACTTGTCTGGAGTCGAAAAAGACTTAAAAAAAATGAATATATGCCTTCACATTTATCTTTTGTTAGTCTGACCGGTAAATTATTTCATTCTCTTTATTATTACAGATGAATCAGACCTGTAAAGTCTGTGGTGAACCAGCGGCCGGTTTCCATTTTGGAGCCTTCACCTGCGAAGGCTGTAAGGTGAGTTTGGAAAATTTTAAATTTATTAATTTTACTATCAGCATATTTTTGAATTGAATAACTCTGCATTAGATAGTTCAGCAATTAAAGTTATAAAATTATATGACACCTAATGTAATAAAATATATTATTAAGTAAAAAAATAAAATTTAATAAAATAAAATAGAATAAAATAAAATGAAATGAAATGAAATAAAATAAAATAAAATTAAACACTCGCCTGTTAAGTCAGGATCCGTTGGTTCGATCCCTGCCTTAAGAAGTCTGATGAGGAGATGTATAACAAAAATTTTAAATTCATACAAACAGCGAGGTCTTGTAGATTGCAGTCACGTAATCTGTTCTTGTAATTTAATTTTCATTATTATCTTATAAAGGCACTAATTTAGATTTTCTTTTTTATCTTTCACCATTTATTTTTTACTCTCCCTCCCTTCTTTGCCTAAATCAAGCTTCAAACACACCGTACCCAATTTGTTCTAAGCGCATATTCATGTATCTATTTCCTTCCTATTTTAACTTAATTCAGCCTTTACTGGTAATCAATTCGTTCACTGCCATTGAATTGCCAGTAAATACAATTTGTGTAGGCTGCAGAAACTTAATGAGTTCAATACTCTTCTATATTACACACAATTATCTGCTTCATTTAATTTCATTTGCAGAACGTTATAAATAAACTAACGGTGCACTCATTGCCAATTGCGAATATCCATAAAATAAACTGATATTTTAGATATTAAAACGCGTATCGCCGTGTTGCTAATTTGGCAAAGCAAGTTCGTAGCTTAAGTCTTTCATATTGGTAAGCACTTCCACATGTACACATGTGGTTGTGGGGCTGTCAGAAGAGAAGTTAGAATATTATGAAATACACATAAGAAATCAAAAATAAACAGAGCTGAACTGACTGCTAAAGGAAACAGACAAGTCCAAAGCAATGAAGTAAGTCAATGTTAATGTAAAAACAAAGAAAAATAAATAAAGCATGGAACTAAAATAAAATAAATGTTTTAATGAAAAAATCACCTAAAACGTAAAAAAAAATTAACTAAAAAAAGCAGAAAAAAATTAAATAAATACTAGTTTCAGCAAAAAATACTACAGTTCATGTTAAAGCAAAAAAATTAAAACAAGAACAAACTGTAGCCACATAATGAGCTCCATAGCAATAACGCCAACAAACGCGGCATAAATTGTTGTGTTTCAAAAGCATACAATTGTAAAATTACATACATACAAATATGCATAAAATTAGCTAATGATGAAGATGAGTTGAAGGTCGTTCGCAAGTTGTATTAACTACATGAAAACAACTCCAATAACAACAACCGAAATCATATAGCAAGCTGCTTGTAAATAACTGCGTTGCACGAATTGTGCATTTAATACATATATGTACTATCAAGTACTTACGAGCACACATACATATAATCATACTATTATAATACTTGCAACGGAGTAGTTAAGTATTTCTTCGCTAAATAATTGCGAGCGAGTAATGAGGAAAAATATTGGTATAGCAAATAAAAATATATAAAACAAGTTATGGAGGCAGCGATTGCACATAAGTGTATACGAATGTAAAATATAATGGATATATTCAATAAATTGGTAATGAAATGACGATATCAGAGCTATCTAAAACTATCAGCTTCCTAGAGTAACGAAGCTACAATTCTTATGTAATTTTCAATATAAAGGTAATATGAAAATATTTAAAAGAACGTAAAATAAGATAAGAAAATTAAAAACAAATAAAAAAATAAATCAATTTAAACGAAACAAAATAAAACAATACAAACTACAATAAAAATATTAAAAATATTAAAAAAATATAAAAACTAAACCTAAAAGAAATAAGTTAAAATAAATCAAAGTAAAATTAAATTAAATTATATATTATAATTAAATAAATTCAGATAGAATAAAGTAAATAAATAAATTAAATAAAGTGAAATTAAATTAAATGTATATTAGTTTAATATAATTATACAAAATTAAATAAAAAAAATAAAATGAAGTGGTAGGAAATAAAATAAAAAAAATTAAGTAAAATTAAATTAAATGAAGAAAAATAAAAATTATAAAATAAAATGACATGAAATGCAAAAAATACGCGAAAATTAACAAAATGAAATAAAAAGACTTAACATAAAAGAAAATTAAATTAAATTAAATTAAATTAAAAAGAAATAAAAAAAAATTAATATAAAATTTAATAAAATTAAAGACAAAAAATAAAAAGAAATAAAATTAAATGAAAAATAAAAATAAGCGAAAACCTATTATTATTTTATTATTATTATATTAAAACGTTTTAAAATAAAAAAAAAATAAAATCAAATTATATAAAATTAAACAAAGAATAAAATAAAATAAACTAAAGAGAAATGAAATAAATTAAAATAAAAAATAAAGTTAAACAAAATTTCATTAAATAGAGAAAAATAAAAATTATGAAAAAAAAAACAAAATAAAAAAATGAAATAAAGCGATTTAAAATACAAGAAAAAAATTTAATGAAATAAAAATAAAAAAAAAATAAATAAAAGAAAATTAAATTAAATAAAATATAATAAAAAGTCAATAAAAAAATTAAGTGAAAACCAATAAAATAATACAAACAAAAATAACATAGAATAAAACAAAAATGTAAATGAATATTTTATTATGTTAAAGTAAATATAAGAAATAATTACAAATCAAAAATACTCAATTCACCCACTTGATAATGACTGAATCATTTCAAGAAAAATCAGTGTCAGCTGCATGACCTTTACACGCCACACGGCAAGCGGATGGATTCGTGGCATGCAACATACGAATGCAGGCAAATACAGCAAGTTGTATTGCCACCTACAACATTAACCATTGACATGAACACAACAACAACAAATCAGTATTTTCAATAATTTTGTTATTGCTGCTTTGTTCATTATAAAGTGCAAACTGCCAAGCTAAGCAAACAAACAATTTAATTCAATGCAACATAACAAAAATGCCAAAAGCCAACAACATGAATTTAGTGGAAATACTTAATTACAGTTAAGCGAAAAACAAGAAGTCGAAGGAAACAATGAGTTGTTGGGAATTAAAATATATATACATAAATGAAGAAAAAAAATTACAGTAAAAGATGATGGCAAATTGAAGCTCAAAGTACTGATATGAGAAACGAAACTTTAGTTGGATGGTATACCATTCTGTGAGCTAAACAAAAAGCAAATTTTATTAAAAAATATATCTAAGAACACTGAAAAGCTAAATTTTTTAACAACAAGGAAAAGAATTTTTCGAAATTTTGAAAAAAATTTTCTTAAGCAAGATTCGTGGAAAATAATATATTTTTCTTGTTACATGATTTTAACAAATAAATCGGAATGTTTCAGTTTTTATTGAACTAACCAGTCTTTCTGTAATTTCTTGGCCGATTGTTCAGCTTAAAGCCTTTGTTATTATCCGCAAAGCATTAGAACAACTGAACTTCAGCTGAGTAAAATTTCCTTCAAATTCTTGGCAGCACTGACGGGGTCTTACTGTACTAAAATTAAGTCTGGTATTAAATTCTAAGCACCCAAAACTTGTGAATCACTCTGCTTAATCTTAGTTTCCTCAGCGCAGGCGTAGAAGTGCTAAATAAACTGCATGAAAAAGCTGCAAATTACATAAATTGCGAAGAATAGAAGAAGCTTCTTTTGGTTATGGAAAAATACCAAAAAATCAACCAAAAATAACAGCACAGTAAATCACATAATGAATAATTTCGAAAAAAAGAAAAATGAAAAACCACAAGCAAACTCAGCCAGCCGGCAACGCCACCACTACCACCATCATCATCATCTTCAGCGTAAGCGTCATTACTGCCTTTAAGGTTAATTGGGCATCAAGATTACTAGGTCGGAAATGCGCTCTTTTTGTTTGGTTGTATTTTCCATCTCCGCCGCGACTGCGACAAAAAGTACATACAAATGCAAAGTGTGGCATACAAAGGGTATGTTGCAATCGATTGCCAGCAAAGCAAAAAAAAAAAAGACAAACAGCAGGTAGAAAAGAACAAAAGCGACGTTTCATAGAAGACATGCGATGCGCCACAATTACGTCAGTATTTACAAGTAATTCACCGTACGACTAAGAATGGGCGCTTAAAGTCATTAATAGTGCTATACACGTACACAGTTAACAACATGCAGGCACATGTGTGTGTGTGTGTGTATTTATGTGTAAATGAATAGGAAGGCGTGTGGCATTGACGGAACAGTGCACGTCACTGCACTTTGCCAGCGCCAGCGCCAGCGAGTAGTAGTGGGTGCAGGTGGCGTATGAGTGATGTTGTGTTGGTTGCATTTGTTTTTTTTTTTTGTTTTTTATTGTTTTTTCTTGTTTTTTCTTAGAAGATGGCACGGCACAGCGCTACATAGAGCTTGGTTTTATTTGCCATTTTTAATGCAATTTACTGCTTTGTCAATTTGAAGTTCTTTTTGTTTCCATTTTTGTAGCCTCAATTGGCAATTAATGAGTTGCTGCTTATACACATATAAATTTATATTTTTCACTATAGGTTTTATTTTATTTTTATATCTTTTAAATAAATTATTTTCATTACAATTTCTGTTTGTCATTTAATTTTTTTATTTTTTCTCTCATTTTTATACACTCCGATACCATTTTATATTTTTTTATTTATTATAATTCTATTTTTTTTTTTCTGTTATTGCCCGACTTGGCACACTTTGACATTCACACTGTACTGTAACGGTACTTTGCGACAGCTGACAATGTCGTGGCTGTCAATTTTTGAAGGTGTGAAGAAGATTAGTGCACTCCAATAGCACCGCACAAAATAATTTAAAAAAAATTATAATAAATAAATAAAATAAAAAAATCAGCAAAGTTAAGTTGAAAACAGAAATCGTAACAGAATTGGTAACCGTAATAGAAACGAGCACAAAGTAGAAAAACACAATTGTCTTTTTGTTGGCATTAATTGGTTTTTGTAGGGTGATTGGTGCTTGCGTTCGTTGAAAAGGGCAAGTTTTCTAGAGCAAGGTGTGTTGAACAAGTTCATTTTCTGTTTTTTATGACTCATGGAAAATCAGATATTCAGCACAAATTTCAGTAAATTATCTTGATAATTAACACCGTGTGGAAATTATTTTTATATAAATTTATATTTGAGAAAAAGCTTAAAAAAAAGATTTGCTCTGAGTGAATTTTTCTTATTGACTCCCGAAGTAACTTTTTTATCGATGCACTGAAATTTGAGAATTTCCTTTTGCGATGGCTTTCTTGGGGCTTTCTGCTACTTTTATCAAGAGTCCGGATTACTTCGTGATGCGCCAAAGGCTTTGCCTTACTTTGCGGTCTAGTCGCATTGGCAAGTTCACTTAAATTTATATTAATACCAGAGCCGCGCTTATGGTTAAATTCAAAGTGGCTTAGAGCTCTTTTGTTACTTTACGATTTCTGAAGATGTTCAAGATATCCATTTGAGCGTTTCTTACAATCGTCAGCTTTTCTCAACTGGATTTGGTGGTAGAAATTATATAAGAAGACCCTGAGACCTATTTCACTTTTTGGTAACGAATTTTAGATAATAAATAAATAGGCTGGCAAACAATTATTCTTACTTCTGTGTAGATATAATATTTCAAAAAAATTTAGTTAATGAAATAAATTTGCAATTAATTAAATTCAATATAAATTTTTAAGCTTTAGTTTGAAAATATTAAATTTTCATTGTTAATTCTTACTTTCGATATTTATTTTTTAAATTTTTCTCACACATTTTTCTTATTTTTTTTTTTAATCTATAATTAATTTTGTTTATTAATTTTTAATATTAAATTCATAATTTTCTTCTCATTTCTCATTATTAATTGTTATTTTTTAATTTTATATTTTAAAAATTTAATAATAAATATTATTATTTAATTTTAGACGTAAACTAGCAGTAAGCTACAGAATATTTCTTTTATATTGCAATTAGTTATAAATTTTTAAATACTATTATTTTAAACACTAAATTTTTTTGGTTTACAAATCTATTTTTATTTATATTTTTTTTTCTTAGTTCTAATTCCAAATTTTAACTTTTTTTTAATAAATTCTTAACCAAAATAATTACTAAAAAATACTCTCCCTTTTCCTCTTTCAGTCCTTCTTCGGTCGCTCCTACAACAATCTCTCCTCTATCAGTGATTGCAAGAACAACGGTGAATGCATCATAAACAAAAAGAATCGCACAACATGTAAAGCGTGCCGCCTGCGTAAATGCATTTTGGTGGGCATGTCCAAGAGCGGCTCGCGTTACGGCCGCCGTTCGAATTGGTTTAAAATACATTGTTTACTACAAGAACAACAACAGCAAGCTGCTGCAGCCATGGCTGCGCATCATAACAATCAGCAACAGGCAGTCGCAGCTGCTGCAGCCGCCGCAGCAGCACAACACGGTGGTCCACCAATGATGGCAGGCCAGAAACCAACGCTTGGCATGCCGCCACACGGCACGCCTGGCAGCGCTGCAGCAGCGGCAGCACTTGGCATGTTGGGTCATGCAGGCGCCTATCCTGGTTTATACCCGCCACGCTCGAAGGAGGAACTCATGATGTTGGGCATTGAGGAGTTTGCCGCGGTAGCAGCGGCTAATAAACATGCCGCTACGGCGTCACCTTCTGTTAGCTCGCCTGATTCACACAACTCGGACAACTCGCTGGATGTAAGTACGCGTGGTAATGCGAGTGCAAGCGCACTGCTGCATATGAGCGCAAAACATGCTGTTGAGGTGTCGGGTGGTGCGTCAGCATCTACAACGGTGCCACCGTCACAACAAGTACGCAAAGACTTGCCACCCTTCCTACCATTGCCGTTCGCCGGACTCGGTTCGATGTCGGTCATGCCGCCGCCACCCTTTCTGCCACCCTCACACCTGCTCTTTCCCGGCTACCACCCTTCGTTGTATACACATCACCAAGGTTTGCTGAAAACAGCGGCTGAACATCATCAGGCAGCGGCAGCAGCCGCTGCGGTGCATCAATTATTCAACGCGAATAATGTGGCGCAAGCTCGTCTGCCCACCACTCTGCAGGCGCCCAGTCCGCCACTGAGTGCAAACAATAGTAATAAATTGGATGTGTGTAAGGACACCGAGCAAGTGATGCCGAGACCGAAGAGTGGTGATGCGCTCAATAATAATCACATAACTAACGGCAGTAAAGCAGCTGAAGAGCTAACGAAACGTTTCTATTTGGACGCCGTACTCAAATCGCAACGCAATAGTCCACCGGCTATCATGCCAACGACGGCAACGACGACCACAACGACGAAATTGCCAGAGCATACGAAAATTGATTATTCAATTTCGGCTTTGGTCACGCCAAATTCGGAAAGTGGCGCGGAGCATCGTATTAATCGTCAAAGTAATGATGATGAGGATGAGCGCGAGAGCAACGCACGACGAACTACAGCTACAAAGAGTACGCCGCCTAATACAGCTGACGACATACGCTCATGCGCTGGTAACGGCGGTGGTGATGTTAGTCGTACAACAAAGGCTTCAAGTGATGCTGATGAGGATGAAGAACTGGAGGTCTCCATGACACCGCCAAGCTCACCAGCAAACTTGCGAGCAACCAGCTTCGAAAGCAATACAAAAACCGCCAACCCTACCATCACATCCACACCTGCCACTCTACCTATGCCCGCAATCGCATCACCAGCAACCAGTACCCCGCCTGTTGTCACGACCGCTAAGTCGACTCTCCAACAGGACAATCCCATGGACTTGAGTATGAAGACAAGTAGTTCGGTAGCGAGCAGCTCGCTGAGTAGCAAATGCAGCTCAACTGGCTCTGTTCAAGCGACGGACAGCGACACAGAAATAGAGTGCGTAACGGAACAAGAACCTGGCGAGTCTCGCAGTTTTGCTAATGCTGTCGATAAACAGTCCGAAGTGTCTATAAATGAAGATACCGAGGAAGAGATGCTACAAGTGGATGTTGAGGGCTTGGATAAGTCTCCCGAGAAACAAGCACCCCAACAATCAAACAACAACAATAATAATGAAAAGAACAGTAATAATAACAACAACAATAACAGTGAAAGCAATAATCACCCGAATAATAACAACAAAAGCAACGATAGTGACAACCATTCCACGCAGCAGCGCCACGACTCAAGCGACAGCGATGAAAGCATTTTGCAATTGAATATTGTAAAGCGTAAATTACACGCGATCAGCGGTAAACAAACGGAGAATAAAGCATCCAGCGCAAAACGCTCAAAATTTTCTATGGAGTCCACTAACATTCAACTGGACGTAGGCAGTGTGATCAGCGCAGCAGCTAAACCAGTGAGCTGCACGACGGTACCTGGTGCGGCGACAACAACCACGCCATTGGATCTAACAACAAAGGTTTAGATTTACACATGTGTATGTGTATGTGTATGTGTAAATATTTTTATTGTAATAGCTAATGGTTTTTTTTCTATATATATTTTGAGGAAAAATATTTTAAAATCATTTATTAACACAAATATTCATATGCTGTGAATGTATCTTTCAAAAAAATTTCAAAATTTTATTTATTGTAAAATTTTGTATACCCTAAATATATCCACGACAAGTTGCCGCATGCATGATAAATTATTATTGAAAACAAAAATTAAAACAAATATAAAAATCGAAATAGAAAAGTAAATCAAACAAACTCGGGTAATTAACGAATTCTTCGGTCATGTTATCACTTCATTGCCATTAAAATAGTGAAATATGGAATATCAACCAGTGCACGCAAAAAATTATTAAAATAGAAATAAAAACCTAAATAAAAATTAGAAATTAAAAAAATCCGTTTTCAATACCCATATGTATAAACAGAAACAGCTCAATCGCAGCGACATTGCCAAGCTACACAAATAAAGTAAATGACGATTGAACAAGCGAGCTGATGCTGATTTGAATGCCAAATTTGTTACGCGCACAGCGGGCGGGCCAAATAGTACTCCAGCGTGTCTGAAAAGTATATTTACCATTTGAATATTTTGTAGCCGCATAACTGAGCGAAATTGATATGTCAAATACATTTTATTTTTATATCTCTTAATAAATATTTTATTTATTTTTTTATTTTATTTTATTGTATTTTATTTAATTTTATTTCATTTCATTTTATTTTATATTATTTTTTGTTTTATTTTATTTTATAATATTTTATTTTATTTTATGTTATTTTATTTTATTTTATTTTATTTTATTTTATTTTATTTTATTTTATTTTATTTTATTTTATTTTATTTTATTTTATTTTTATATTTTATTTCATTTTATTTTATTTTATTTTATTTTATTTATTCAATTTTTATTTTATGTTATTATTTGCTCATAATAATGATTTGCTATTTTTCTTTTTTTGCAAAACCAAATATTTTATGAGCTCATTAGGTACGACAGTAGAATTCCAGTTACTCAGAAATATCATAAAAATAAATTCATGTACTATACCGGGCAAATGAAATAAATGTATTATATTATACGAGTAACTTTAAATTAGATGACGAATAAGGGTTTCTAAATTGAAGTGTTTAAAATTATAAAGAAAAATTTTAGTTGAATAATATGATACTATATTATGAGAAAAGAATCAATAGGAAAGGAAGGAATTGGCGACGGGGCGTATGAGTAATATTTTTATACATTTTTATGCCAATTATTTTGAAACCCTGCTTGATTGAGCTTATAGAATTTCATATCTTTTCCAAAAATCGCCTATCAAAGCCATACTTATGTTTGAAAATACAAAAATATTCGGTTTCGAAATATTTTTCCTCACAACAATGCATACTTTTATTAGTCAATTAGTGAAATGTTTATAAAAATAATATTAAAAGTAGTAAAAAAAATTATAAAATATGTATTAGTAAAAACAATTATAATATAAACAATGAAAAAAGGAAAAAAGCACAGATCATAAAATTAATAAAAAATTCAATAAAATTTTTCAAATGCAAAAATTAATGCAAAAAGTATATTCACATACAAGTTTTTGCAATATGCTGTAATAGTTAAACAAATAAAGCTTATTTAAGTTAAATATAGAAAAATTTGAGTGAATTGTTTATAGTAGTCTTTAAGAGTTTATGCGCTAGATTTTAGTGATATTGTATAAAATTCTATTAATATTGCTATTATTATTATTATTACTTTATTGCAAAATTCTGTATACTTATTAGCCTTAAATATTATTAATTAATTGCTGAAAGAAAAAAAATTATTTCAGTTACAAAAAAGTGAGAAATGTGAGTAAAGAAAATTGTAAACAAAATGGTATTTTTATTTAAATCTTATATATTTAACCTGTTTTAGTGAAACTGCACTTAAATTATTAAATAAATACACAAATATGTAGAAAAATTTATAAAATAATTAGTTTGCTTATTTATTTATTTATGATTTGCAAAAAAAAAATGCACTGAAAGTCAAACGTAAGTATAAATTTATGCGCTTACACGCGCATGATAAGACACGAAATTAATAAATTTAAAAAATAATATTAAAGGTTCCAAATAAAAATTTCAGTAAGACAAAAAATAAGTTACAGAATTAAAAAAATTGAATAAATAAGAAAAAAATTGAATTTTTTTTTTATATAATTTGCTTATTTTTTCTGAAGTTTTGTAATGATTTCCTTATACTTTATTTATCACATAATGGTTTTTTTATTTTTTGTTAATTTGGTTTTCCTATCTGTTTTTTTTTCTTACAATTCATTTGTCACATAATATTTTTTTACTTTTATGAAGTAAAAACGCCTTACCCATATTATTTTCACTTCATTATCTTTCCGTTATCAAATTCGTATTTATATGCAAATCGCTTATTTAAGTACTTATTCCTTTCAATATATATGTATATATACATATATATATATATATATAAAATTTAATTGTCTTCCTTGTTATTGCTGCTGCTACTTTAAACTACAACTTCCGCTGGTAATTTTTTTTATTTATTATTAAAGGGTGTTGCCTCCATGGCATAGTTCAATTTTTTATATACACACATATTGCACATATGTCATATGTATATAAATATATGTATATACAACCTTATGCGCATGCAAATAATAACAAGAAAAATTTATCAAATATAAATCGTTGCTTGAGGGCGCGTAACGCAATTGCACCACAAACGCATTTGCATAAAAAATTTTCACAGTAAGCCCACGAAGGCAAGCCTTGATGGTTAGCAAATAGAAGAAAGAAAAAATATCTTAAGCTCTATGGATTTCAAAATTAATAGTTTTTTGTAAGCTTTAACCCTTTGGTTAGTCGAAAAGAATATTATGAATTTTGAGCTTATTTTAACAAAAAAAATATTCACTATTTTTCACTATTTTTCTTTGAAATGAAATTAAAGAATTTCATTTTTTAATATAAATTAAACCAAACGCCTCCTTAATTACATTTATTTATATTTTTTCTATGCAATACTCCAAGTCTGAATCTCTTTATTCATTCATATAGGTCTTAGTTACCCTCCTAGCAGCACTTTAGTGTTAAACAGTAACTTCTAGATATAAACTGTTCGCTCTACGAAGTGTCACTGGAATGTCAACGTTGGCAATTGTGTCTTCCAATTGCGATTTATTTCTCAGCAAAACAAAAGTGAATGTAAAAATCTGGCTGTCAATACTTCAATGCTCGTTTTTGTTATTATTGTTTGCTACACTTATTTGTTTTTCGCTCTTTTTCTGCTTACTCTTTATTGTTGTTGTTATTGTCATTGCACCAAGTAGACTGACGCAGCGTGCACTAATGTTGTTACAGTCACTACTGTTGCTGTTGTTGTTGATTTTGTTATTGCTACTGTTGTTTGAACAAACAACACAGCTACTGCCTACAGCGTTGTCTGTTGCACTACTTTGTTGCTGTCCATAATGCCGTTGCTTATTTATTTTCCGTTTGCATTAATCTCAATGCAACGTTTATATCAGTCAGTGGTTTGTAGAGTGGAAATTTAATTTTGTTCACTTAACGGTGTTATATTTATTTATTTATGCAATTTTTTTTTGTATTCTAATAATAAATATTATTTTTTTTAATTTAATATATGCAGATTAAATTTAATTAATAAATAACAAAATATTTATTAAAAAAAATAATTATTTGAAGATTTGGCAATTTTCATTTCCACTAAGCCGCTTATGTTGTTATTTTAAATAAGAATTTATTGAAAAAAAAATTAAAAATTTTAAAACAAGCGCTAACGGCGACTCTTCTTATCTTCCGTTAGATAGAAACATTTTAGAATATTTTTTTCCCAAGAATCGAAAAATTTAAGTCATTATGAATAGATGAGAATTCTTCTTTCCTGCAGCTGGCAGGTGTAAACCCCTCGACTAGTGCCTTTTTGTTGAACTGTATAAGTGGTATAGATCAGTCTGAACTTAACATTAACAGATCGCAAGATAGTCCGTCGTGTAGTTGTCTAGTTTGACCTACTTTCTTGGTACTCATACCCAAGTCTTATTGTATTTGTTTCTTCAGAGTCTGTTCATTTCATTTGAACAACACCTTAGTTAAGGTTAAACTGAAGAGCTGATGTGGCACCCTTACCGTTAGGGTACATAAAAGGTAAGCCAAATACCTTTTGATTATTAACTACGGCTACTTTGCTTTGAGTCCCCCTTGAGGTTTGACCCCTTGGATATCATTACCGATGTATCAAACATAAAGTACAAAGAAGGTGATTCCAGAAGTGGATAATCTTCAACTTGAAGAAAAAAGGGAATATTGAAATACCTAAGAACCATACTTTTCATACTTTTCGATGAAGCTCATGCTCACCTAAGCGCCTACTTTAGCAATGCAATGCAATGCAATTTAGAAATTTAGCAATTTTTATTGTATTTCTGGTTGGTAAACGTTGGCTGCAGAGGTCTATTGGAAAAAGGTTAAGATTTGCCTGGAGACTCGATAGTAAATAGTTCATTGCGAGGACAATTGTGGACTGCTGAATGATATATCGAATGTGACTGTGACGCCACTGAAGAGTATGATTCGAATTACCGACGTGATAATCAATATTGAGGCAAACATATAAAATATTTGCACGGTACAGACAATCGCATGAGAAGTAATCGAAACTCCACACTGTATGAGGAAAAAGAGTGGATAGTGCTAATACTCAACCAGAACAGTACCATATCTAAAGTCATATAGTAATACCACTTGGTCGACAAACATGTCCATCTAGGAACCAGCAATCACACAAACAAACGTTTCAGACCAAAAGTCCAACGTAAATTTTATTTTTTCAGATCCTACTGCGGATTGAGTAAGCAATTAAAAAGTAATGTCCATTCTACAGAATTGATGATCACAATCAGCAAGACACTCAACAATCGCTCTCGAAGGTTCGTAAGTGTGAGAAATGTCAATTTCCAATATATTCGATTTGGTAGC